CAATTTAAATTACATTTAAAATGTAAAGGCCATATACAGGTGAAACTTGAAAAATTAGAATATCGTGCAAAAGTTAATTTATTTCAGTAATGCAACTTAAAAGGTGAAACTAATATATGAGATAGACTCATTACATGCAAAGCAAGATAGTTCAAGCTGTGATTTGTCATAATTGTGATGATTATGGCTCATGAAAACCCCAAATCCACAATCTCAGAGAATTAGAATATTGTGAAAAGGTGCAATATTCTAGGCTCAAAGTGTCCCACTCTAATCAGCTAATTAAGCCATAACACCTGCAAAGGGTTCCTGAGCCTTTAAATGGTCTCTCAGTCTGGTTCAGTAGGAATCACAATCATGGGAAAGACTGCTGACCTGACAGTTGTGCAGAAAACCATCATTGACACTCTCCATAAGGAGGGAAAGCCTCAAAAGGTAATTGCAAAAGAAGTTGGATGTTCCAAAAGTGCTGTATCAAAGCACATTAATAGAAAGTTTTGTGGAAGGGAAAAGTGTGGAAGAAAAAGGTGCACAAGCAGCAGGGATAACCGTAACCTGGAGAGTATTGTCAGGAAAAGGCCATTCAATAGTGTTTGGGACTTTCACAAGGAGTGGACTGAGGCTGGAGTCAGTGCATCAAGAGCCACCACACACAGACGGATTCTGGACATGGGCTTCAAATGTCGTATTCCTCTTGTCAAGCCGCTCCTGAACAACAAACAACGTCAGAAGCATCTTACCTGGGCTAAAGAAAAACAGACCTGGTCTGTTGCTCAGTGGTCCAAAGTCCTCTTTTCTGATGAGAGCAACTTTTGCATCTCATTTGGAAACCAAGGACCCAGAGTATGGAGGAAGAATGGAGAGGCACACACTGCAAGATGCTTGAAGTCCAGTGTGAAGTTTCCAGAGTCTGTGTTGATTTGGGGAGCCATGTCATCTGCTGGTGTTGGTCCACTGTGCTTTATTAAGTCCAGGGTCAACGCAGCCGTCTACCAGGAGATTTTGGAGCACTTCATGCTTCCTTCCGCAGACGAGCTTTATGGGGATGCTGACTTCATTTTCCAGTAGGACTTGGCACCTGCCCACACTGCCAAAAGCACCAAAACCTGGTTCAATGACCGTGGGATTACTGTGCTTGATTGGCCAGCAAACTCGCCTGACCTGAACTCCATAGAGAATCTATGGGGCATTGCCAAGAGAAAGATGAGAGACATGAGACCGAACAATGCAGAAGAGCTGAAGGACGCTATTGAAGCATCCTGGTCTTCCATAACACCTCAGCAGTGCCACAGGCTGATAGCTTCCATGCCACGCCGCATTGAGGCAGTAATTGCTGCAAAAGGGGCCCAAACCAAGTACTGAGTACATATGCATGCTTATACTTTTCAGAGGTCCGATATTGTTCTATGTACAATCCTTGTTTTATTGATTGCATGTAATCTAATTTTCTGAGATTGTGGATTTGGGGTTTTCATGAGCTGTAAGCCATAATCATCACAATTATGACAAATCACGGCTTGAACTATCTTGCTTTGTATGTAATGAGTCTATCTCATATGTTAGTTTTACCTTTTAAGTTGCATTACTGAAATAAATGAGCTTTTGCATGATATTCTAATTTTTCGAGTTTCACCTGTAATTGGAGTAAATATAATTCCACTCCTGTGGATAATAGATTTACGTTGTTAAAGTGGTATTAAAGGTCCGGCGGGTTTTAAAAAAAATAAATAACATGTCATACTTATCTGCTCTGTGTAATGGTTTTGCACAGAGCAGCCCTGATCCTTCTCTTCTCGGGTCCCCTGCTGGTGCTCCTCCCCCTGGACCAGTGTTCCCAATACCAAGCCACTTCCGATGGGGCACTGGACACTCCCGAGCCGGGTTCTATGCATCCATAAGACACATAGAGCCCCCACTCTCTCCTCATTGGCTCACTGGCTGTGATTGACAACCATCTTAGCCAATGAGAGGGAATTTTGGGACAGCCAAAGGTCCCGTGCACACCACTGGATCAAGAGGGGGCTCGGGAGTATAAGGGGGGGGGGGGCTGTGGTGGGAGCAGTGCACAGATTTTTTTTATCTTCATGCATAGAAACCTTCAGCCTTTACCTTTCAGAGATAATTGTTGGAAATGTTTAGTAGTCATCACCCAGGTAATTAGAGGCATCTTTGAAATCAGAAAGTAACCTTATTTAGCATGATGATATTTAGGGCCAGGGAAGGAACACACAAAAGAGAAAAATACCATTAAAACAACATGGTGGGGGGGGGGGTTTCGGTGTGTGTGTGGAGGGGGGGGGGGTTGTAATGAAAAAACAAACTATAAGGGTGAAATGGAATCGGCCATTTTCAATTTAACTGCAGTGCTAACTAATGCAGCAAAAAAAGGCTCTTGACCTGGACTTTAAATGTGTCCCACAAAGAAAGATAAATATATCTGACAAATTGTATGGATATGCAGAGGTACATCAGAAAGATTAATTTGGAAAAAAAATATTTCTTTTCAAATCCCATTTTTGAGAGTATTGTGGACAAGATCATAACTTTAGATAGCCTAGAACATACTCCTTTTAGAAATTCCACATTGCATAACATTTTGAATGGCGGTAATAGGTATCTTAAAACCTTCAAGGAAATGGCATTTAACCGATTTAGGAAAACTAAAATTGAAGAAAATACAAATGATGCAGGTGTGATGAACAATGTCAAGGATTTTGCAGCTAGAAAGGATCTGTGTTTTGACCAGCTGACAAGGGAAATGGAATAGTGTTGCCTATATGGAGGAAACCTATCTAATCATATCTTGTCAGACACATACACCTGTAGGGCTGGTTCAAACCACAGTTTCTGCATTCCGGATATGTTTCTGCATGTATGTTTACACACGTTTTTAATGCGTTCTGGTGCTTTTTTAAAAAAAATTTTGTGCACTTTTTTTTTCTTCATCTTATGTGCATCATTTAGGCGTGTTTTTCTGGTGCATCTACATGTGTTCTGGTGCGTTTTCCATGAGTTTTTGCTGCATTCAAGATGCATTCTAGAAAAAATGCAGCATATTCTACTTTTGTTGACTGCAATTGAACACACTGAATGGTGTGATCTAGGGCCATTGAAATACATTGCTGAATAAAATTGCACTGAACTGCATCTGGTGTGAACCAGCCTTAAACAAAAATCTGAACACATTGTTTAAAATCTTTAGCAGAACAAGGCAAGGATTATCAAAGTATAACTAAAGACAAAACTTTTTTTTTAGTTTTGGATAGAGTAGAGAGGGATTACAGCATCTATTGGGTTCTACTGCTGATCCACCATCTCTGTTTGTCTTGTTTTACCATTTTCATTGAAGTGAAACTGAAAGAAAATCCTAAATTTTGGGTTGTCCCCAGAAAAGTAATAGAGGGGAAATCTTCCAATGGGGGCACTAGTTCTGGTGATCTTGGGGTCCCCAAGTGATTCCTTTCATTTGCAGGCATTTTCTCTCACTTTCTGTTTGGCTATGGGACAGAAATTGAAGGGAAATCTCCCCAGTGGGACACAGATGGCAAAAAAATAACTGACAAGGATTATAATCCTCCCTTGCTCTATCCAAAATGAAAAAAAGCTTTGCCTATAGTTCTACTTTAATTAACAAAAAAAGTTTTCTGATCCCTTTAGTACCTTAAGTGACTGTGATTTTGTATTAACCAAAAGTCCATAAGGATTCTAAAACGCACTTTGACTGACCTATAATTGGCAGTATTGATTTTGGCTTAACCAAAATAATAATATATATTTTTTTAAGAACTTCAGTTCAGGACTTACTCTCCTGCATAGCCTCCCTAGCGGTCTGATTATGTCAGTATTTCTGTGCTCAAAGCGGTACATTTTTTTGCATGGAAATATGTATTTTTTTTATTGTAGGCCTGTCATTTTTAGGAATAACTCACTGAAATCTGTCCAAACAAAAAACATTCCAGGTTTGTTAAAATTTGAAACACGAAATCATAAATTATAATTTAATAAATAATCATAAAAAATAATATAATAATAAATGTAATTCAATAATGTAATCAAACCAAAAACACTGAAATTTGAAATAGAGCACCAAGTTCGCACATCACTGAGCAAAGTCGCAAAATCGTTTTCAGTGTCTGATGACGAATTTCCCCACGAATCATTATCACTCAATTCTGCAAGTAGTTCTAATTTACTATTGCTGTTTTTGACCTAAAGGGACGCTTTTTGGACGCCATGGACATTTCTCAATTTCCAGGCAGAAAGGACGGTAAAAATGCAGGCAGGGCACAGGACAAAGCACTAGGGACAAAATGTATGTGAAATGGTTTGATACAGTAAATGTTTTACTATGTGATTTTAGTGTATTTAGTGAATGTCACTTTCACATTTTTAAATTTCCCGCCGTTCCATCCCCTGACGTCGCAGGGATCGGAACCCAGAAGACAGATGCTGGCATCGGCTAGAGGACATTGCCGGGCACACTGCAGGGGGGACATCGCGGGAGCGAAGGATAAGGTAAGTGCAGAAGAGATCCCGGAGCAGCGCTGCAAGGTATTCCGGAGTGTAGCTCGGGGTTATCGCTTGTGGTACTGAAACTTTACCCCGAGCTACACTCGGGAATACCTCCAGGGAGGTTAAAGGGCCGAAAACATGTAATTTGTTCCTTTAACCACCTTCCGCTCGCCCTATAGTACAATGACGGGCGCAAGGTGGTTCTCTCGTTCTGATAGGACGTCATATGACGTCCTACCATTCTCACTGCGCATGCGGGCTCAGGGAGCGCGCAGCGCGGCGATCGCCGGTCCGCTGTGTCCACGGAAAGAGCCGAAGATGTCGGCTCGGTCATGTGATCAGCTGTGTCCAATCACAGCTGATCACATGTAAAAACGGAAATGCCGGTTATCGGCATTTCTCTCCTCTCGAGCTGTCACCCTGACAGCTCGAGAGGAGAGCCAGTAATTAGCTTTCCGCGGAGGGGACATGTACACTGATCATCAGGGCACTGATGATCAGTGTGCCCTGATGATCAGTGTGGCCCCAGAAGTGCCACCTGTCAGTGCCCATCAGTGCCACATCAATGCCACATATCAGTGCATACCAGTGCACATCAATGCCACATATCAGTGCCCATCTGAGCTGCCTTTCAATGTCACCCATCAGTGCCAGTCAGTGCCACCTATCAGTGTGCTGCCAATCAGTGCCATCTATCAGTGCCAGTCAGTGTCGCCTATCAGTGCCAGTCAGTGCCGCCTAACAGTGCCAGTCAGTGCTGCCTATCAGTGCTGCCTATCAGTGCCAGTCAGTGCCGCCTATCAGTGCCATACATCAGTGACATGTATCAGTGCTGCCTTTCAGTGCCCATCAGTGATGCCTGTCAATGCCCATCAGTGCCACCTACCAGTGCCTCCTCATCAGTGCCCATCAGTGCCACCTATCAGTGCCCATCACTGCAGCCTCATTAGCGCACATCAGTGAAGGAGAAAAATCACTTATTTACAAAATTGTATAACAAAAACTAAGCAAAACCACTGAAAATTTTTTTAAAAAAAGTTTTTGTTTGTTTAAGAAAAAATAAAAATCTCAGAGGTTATTAAATAGCACCAAAGAAAGCTCTATCTGTCTAAAAAAAAAAAAAGATAAATATTTCATATGGGTACAATGTTGCATGACCGCAATTTTCATTTAAAGTTTGACAGCGCTGAAAGCTGGAAATTGGCCTGGGCAGGAAGGGGGTATAAGTGCCCTGTAGGCTAGTGGTTAAAGGAATTACTGATGTGGAATTTGCTGAAAAAAACAAAAACAAAAGGAGGATGTTATGGTATATTTTATCCTATTTTGGTGTATTGGAAAAGTAATGTCAATGACCTCCTCTTCCTATGGCGTGAGGATGAAATATATTTGATAGTTTTTATGGAGCAATCTAGTTACAGTAGTAAAATATAAAGCTCTTTTATGATTTTAGTACTTAAAGGAAAAAAATCACTTTTTTGTAGATGAGAATAGGAATAATGTGAAATCATATTTTAAAAGTATTGATTGGAACCATTGTATCAGAAAAAACAAACTGCCGCCATCCTAATTGGGCACATGGCATTTCTAAATGTTGGTTTCCTTGGATGCGGTGGAATTGAGGGAAGCTATGAGATTATGTTCAACAGGGAAAGATTTTGAAGGATAGATTTTTAGAAAAGGATATGGAGAGAATACATTAGACAAAGAATTTTCTTTAGCAGACAACTTAGATCAGGGAAATACTGCAAGTTATCTACTAAAAACTAAATATGTATAAAAAATATATAGACTGTGCATTTACACTCAGTGCTATATTGTAAAACAATATTTCAGTAACACTAAGGCTAGGTTCACGCTTATGCGGTGCAGTACATCACATGAGATTCGCACAGGAACCGCACAGCATTCCTGTGCAAATCACATGCGAATTGTGTGCGGTGCGATTTGAGCTATACATTATCTATGGTTCAAATCGCACCTCATCTGCACCAAAAAGGTGCAGGTCCGCAGTAGGATCGAATCACATGGATATTCACACCTATGTAATCTGATTCTGCACATCGCACCTCGTTTTGCTGACCGATTTCGGGGTGTTAACATACACACCTGCAGTGGTTCGCATGAACGGGGTGTGATTCTGATGCGGTGCGGATTTTGCACAGAAAACACTGCGAATTCCGGACCACATCAGTGTGAACCCAGGCTGAAAGTATCAGTAGTCAAGTACTCTCCCAAGGTGTATAGAAATGTTTTTTACTACACAGTATTGTACAATAACCACAGAGAACCTTTTTTTTTATATTGAAGGGTTTTTATTACTGTAAATTGTACAGTAAGTGCTTCCATACTGTTCAGTGCAGCTTGAGCGCACCACGGGGGAAGCGCCGCTTACCCATTGGTTTGGTGCGGGTTAGCTGTGTTCTCCCATAGAGTTGCATTATGTCCCGTGGTTTTTATGTGCTTTCAGAAAGTGCATCAAAACTGCAGGACATAATGGAACTCTTTGGGAGAGCACAGCTAACCCACAACAAACCTGCGGGTGAGCTGCGTTACAGTAAAACCACACCGTAACAGTGTCAAAGTGCTCCTAGTGGGATAGATTTTTTGCTTGCACATGATTGGATAAAAGAAATCAGCAGAGCTTCGCCTCATTTCAGAGCTTCCCCTCGGATCTAAAGTAATTGCACTTGCAGTGCACTTATGGTACACTTACAGTGCACAGTACAGCCCTGACACAAATATTAATTTTCACAAAGTCTGCTGCCTCAGTTTTTGTGATGGCAATTTGCATATACTCCAGAATGTTATGAAGAGTGATCAGATGAATTGCAATTTATTGAAAAGTCCTTCTTTGCCATGAAAATGAACTTAATCCCACAAAAAAATTTCCACTGCATTTCAGCCCTGTCACAAAAGGACTAGTTGACATCATGTCAGTGATTCTCTTATTAATACAGGTGCCAGTGTTGACAAGGCTGGAGATCACTCTGTTATACTGATTGAGTTAAAATAACAGTCTGAAAGCTTTAAAAGGAGGGTGGTGCTTGAACTCATTGTTCTTCTGTTGTTAACCATGGCTACCTGCAAGGAAATAAGTGCCGTCATCATTGCTTTGCACAAACAGGGATTCATAGATAAGGATATTGCTGCTACTAAGATTGCACCTAAAACAACCATTTATCAAATCATCAGTAACCATAGTAGCATCTGACAAAAGATCTAAAAACACTGAAGCAGCAGGCTTTGGAAAAATTAATATTTGTGTCATTTTGGCCAGGGCTGTATATTTACCTTTAGTAAATCAACCCCATTGTTTGTCTATGCAATTTGTTACCCACTGCATAAAAGATATTACTGGAATAAAGTTTTTGGCTAAAGTTTATGGCTATTGGTTAACACCCAGTTGGGGAAGATGTAACAGGAAAAGGGAAATTTCTAAATGGAAAACATAGTTGATATACAAATGAAAACCGTGTGCCCCATATGGTCTGAATGTAGACTGGGATATTGTTTTATAGATAACAGATGGATATCCTATGATATATTGCGGGGGGATTTAGTTATGTTTACATGAGAAGTGGATGTCATTTAGACCCTTATTTATTTTGAGGTTTATTTAGAACAATGTCTTCACTCTTATTCATGTACAGTGCCTTGTATAGGTATTCATACCCCTTGAAATTTTCCACATTTTGTCATGTTACAACCAAACACATAATACATTTATTTCATTGGGATTTTAGGTGGTGGACCAACACAAAGTGGCACATAATTGTGAAATGAAAGGAAAATGATAAATGGTTTTCAAAATTTTTTACAAATAAATAAGTGAAAAGTGCATTTGTATTCAGCCTTCTTTACTCTCATACCCCTAACTAAAATCTAGTGGAACCAATTGCCTTCAGAAATCACTTAATTAGTAAATAGAGTCCACCTGTGTGTAATTTAATCTCAGTATAAATACAGCTGTTCTGTGAAGCCCTCACAAGTTTGTTAGAGAACATTACTGAACAAATAGCATCATGAAGGCCGTGGAACACACCAAAAAGGTCAAAGATAAAGTTGTGAAGAACTTTAAAACAGGGTTAGGTTATAAAACAAATATCACAAGTTTTGATATATCACGGAGCACTGTTCAATCCATCATCTTAAAATGGAAAGAGTATGGCACAACTGCAAACCTACCAAGACATGGCCGTCCACCTAAACTGACAGGCCGGGCAAGGAGAGCATTAATCAGAGAAACAGCTAAGAGGCCCATGGTAACTCTGTAGGAGCTGCAGAGATCCACAGCTCAGGTTGGAGAATCTGTCCACAGAACAACTATTAGTCGTGCACTCCACAAATCTGGCCTTTATGGAAGAGTGGCAAGAAAGCCATTGTTGAAAGAAAGCTATGGAAGGGTTTAGATCAAAGCATATTCATGTGTTAGAATGGCCCAGTCAAAGTCCAGACCTAAATCTAATTCAGAATCTGTGGCAAGACTTGAAAATTGCTGTTGACAGACGCTCTCCATCCAATCTGACAGAGCTTGAGCTATTTTGCAAAGAAGAATGGGCAAAAATGTCACTCTCTAGATGTGCAAAGCTGGTAGAGACATCCCCAAAAAGACTTGCAGCTGTAATTGTAGATCCACCTTTCACTGCAAAGTACTGACTCAGGGAACTGAATATAAATGCATGCCACACTTTTCAGATATTTATTTGTAAAACATTTTGAAAACCATTTATCATTTTCCTTCCACTTTACAATGATGTGCCACTTTGTGTTGGTCTATCACACAAAAATCCCAATAAAATACATTTACGAATTCAAAGGTAAATGGTGACTGCTACAGAGATGGAACCAGCTGGCACAAAAAGAAAGTGACAAAATCTCAATACCTGTGTAAATAACAAAACAGTGCAGCTTATAAATATCTATCAAAATAAATGGAAATCAATAAGTGAAACAATATGAATAAATTATATCCAAAAGTATCACGTGCAACAGACAACAGAATTATAAATAATATAGTCCTTCCAGTGTGTATTTGTGTGTGCTTGCGGTGCCAACCAAAACAAACTGTATTCAATCCCACCAAGAGCTCTTTTCAAGTGCAAGGCGCTCCACCACTATGCACTCACCAGAAAGCTACTTGGTCAGTAGCAGGTAATTCCTCACCACGAGATCTATGTCATCCGCTCTCCAACGACATTACCATTCCAGTTAGAACCTTGAGAAAAGATGCTCACCACACGGAGCCTCAGGATTTGTATATGGTGTAGTAGTTTAATCATCATAAAAGCATTCCATATAAAACATTCCACATGGGACAATTTGAAATCACACATGTGTGTGCCCCTGAGAACGTGCGTGTGCAGGTGGAGCCTACGTGCTGACATCACACCACCGTGTCCACGAAGCAGAGTGGTGGCCATTTTCGTATATGTGATTTCGAAAAAAAGAAACATGGTTTTAAAAGCGGAATTATTTTCTGTTCATGTAGCCTTACAGGATAAATTAGCATAGCTCCTCCATATGAAACACATGGAACCAGATGCATATGGACATCTGCCACTCTCTGACCACCATCTACACCAGGCATCACCAATTGATGGACCAGGGTCCGGATGCAAACTGAGTCACTATCTCATCCGGACCCATGTAGTCCTGCCATTTAAGAGCCTTTTCTTCCCCCAGCTGTTTCACAGTCATCATCACAGAGCTGACAGCGGGAGGCAGGACAGTTCTGAATGTAGGGTGGGAGCTGGCGGAGGTTAACAAGCAGGTGATTGGTTGCTAGGATGAAGAGAAGTCCTTGCAATCAATCACTGTCTGTGTAAGGTAGGACAGTGGGGGAGGGAGGGCGCAAGTTAAAGGGGCTAAGGACATTGGTGTGACGGGGGGGGCTGAGGACAGTAATATGGGAGCTGAGGACAGTAACATGGAGGGCTGATGACAGTAATGTGGGGGCTGAGAACAGAAAGATGGGGGGGTGAGTCTGGGCGAATTTTA